GATGAGGAAACTGAGGCAAACAGGGTTAAGTGGCTTGCTCAGGGTTACCACAGATAATGTGAGGACAGATTTGAACTCATGAAGATCAGTCTTCCTGAGTCCAAGCCCAGTTCTCTAGCCACTGTGCCACCTAGCTGCCCCAAGACCTACTACAAAGCTGTAAATCATTAATACAAAAGCTAGGCAAAAACTATTCATATATATTAGGATCATAGATTTAGAGCTGGAAGAAACCTTAGAGGTTACTTAGTCCAACTCTCTCATTTTACGATAAGGAAACTAAGGCACACAGTAATTAAGTAACTTGTCTAGAGTATGCTGCTAGTGGGTATATGAAGCAGGATTCAAACTCAGGTTTTCCTGATTCTAAGTCCAGCACCCTATCCAATGTATTACTTAGTTGTCTACCATGGCAGTGGCTGCTCCCAAATATCTGAAGATATCAAATGCAGAAGGGACTTAGAAATGACCTAGTCCAATCTCATTTCATAGATGAAGAAACTGAGGCCTGGAGTAGAAGAAGGGATTTGTCCAAGGGCACACAACTACTCCTGCCAGAACTACTTTCCAGCTCTCATGACCCCATGTTCAGGTCTGCCTTGTGGCCTCATTGTTATACAGTGGAACCCTCACTGGGTCTGGAGCTCAGGAGATATTTGGTCTCACATCATAACTTGAGCATTCTTTTTGTGGTGGCAAAGAATTAGAAATTGTGGGGATGCCCATCAGTTGGGGAATGGCTGAATAAGTTGTGGTGTATGATTGTGATGAAATAATATTGTGCTATAAGAAATGAGAAACAGGATGGTTTCAGAAAAACCTGAGAAGACTTATATGAACTGATGCAAAGTGAAGTGAGCAGAACCAGGAGAACATTGCATACAGTAACAGCAATATTGTAAGGATGATCAACTGTGAAAGACTTAGCTACTCTGATCAAGACCATGATCCAAGACAATTCCAAAGGACCCACGAGAAAAATGCTAACCACTTCCAGAGAAAGAGAACTAACGAACTCTAAGTACAGATAGAAGCATACTTTTTAACTTTCTTTATTTTTCTTGTTTTTTCATCTGTGTTTTCTTTTGTAACATGGCTAATATGGAAATATGCTTTGCATGACTTCACATGTATAATCAATATCAAATTGCTTGCCTTCTGAAAGAGAGGGGAGAGATGGGAGGAAGAAGATAATTTGGAACTCAAATTTTGTGAAAATGAATGTTAAAATTTTTTACATGTAATTGGGAAACATTTAACAAAATAAATAAAAATTATATTAGAAAAAATAACTTGAGCATTTACTATCAGTATAACCTTTACTAATTCACTTACCCTACTTTGTGCATCACTTTCCTTTTCTGTCAAACAGGGATAATAATACTTGTACTACCTACCTACCTACCTCAAAGGGTTGTTGTGAGGAAAGAGTTTTTTTAATTAACATTCTATGGAAAGATAAGTTATTAATTATTGTTAATCATTAATTTTTAAGGAATGAGAAGATGTTGCAAGGAAGGCAGTGAAGTTAGAAGGCAATTATTTGTAGTGCTGCAGAAATGGAAAACTCTGAAAGCCACATATTAGCTAGGTGACTCTTTTATAATTTAGTCTTTTCATCAGATGTTAATAACTAACCAGAAGGAAAAAAACCCTCAATCTCCAAGTGCTGTTGATTTTATTAAGATTTTAATAAGAGACACACAAAGAGACGTTCTGATGCCCCAAATCAGACTCTTTCCCTTCAAGGTCATAGTTGGAAGTGTCAGGAGGCTTCATTCACTTTAACTAATTGTTTGGTCAGAATATACGTGGCCTTCATCTTCTTTCAGGACAATTGGGGAAGTAGGTTGATCAAATATTCTGTTTAACTAAGAGTCCCAATCCCCTTGCCTTAAATGACCTCCCCTCTGCTACATACAGGGATGTTGGGGGAGGGGAAAAGTTTAACACCCAGGGTATATCACATTAGTACTTCCTCTAATGCCCCATTGTACTCATCCTCATCCTTCTCATCCAGGTCACACAGGAACCTTGAACTCACTGGGGAAAAAATAAAATACTATTTAATAAATAAATAAGAAGAACCTTGGACTCTCTACCTGTGAAATCACTCTGGAGTTTGGTTGTTGAACTTTGCCTTATTTTTACACACCCAGACCTCTGGGTCACATCCAGGCTACCATTTCCAAACCATGCTGCCACACTTATGACCCCACCCTTACGAATCAACCAATCAATCAATAAACATTTATTAAGCATCTACTATGTGCCAGGCACTGTGCTAAGCACTGGGGATACAAGAAGAGGCAAAATACAGCCCCTGAACTCAAGTGCAAGGAACTTACAATCTAACAACATGCAAACAAATATATACAGAGCAAGCTATATACAGGAGAAATAGGAAATAATTAACAGAGGGAAGGCATTGGAGTTACAGGGTTGGGAAAGGCTTGCAGTAAAAGGTGGGACTTGAGTTGCTACTTAAACAGTCAGGGAAATCAGTAGGTAGAATTGAAGAGACAGAGCATTCCAGACATGGGGATCAGTCACACATACCCCTTTTCTGTACCCCTTTACAGATTGTCTTTTCCCATTAGATTATAAACTCCTTGAGGGCAGGAACTATCTTGCTTTCTTGTTTTTATATTCTCAATACCTAGCAAATAGTAAGCGCTTAATAAATGTTCTATCATGGTTATCATGATTATCAGATTCAGAATTGGCCTTCAATTGTCTTTTATGTGGAACTCTGTACTACTTACTACACAGTACACTACACAATAAAAGGGAAACATCAATGCTCTAACCATTAGGATAACTCAGTTCTAGCCCTGGCTCTGCTGAAAACAAGCTGTGTGACTTTGTTCAAGCCACATCCCTCCGCTGGGCTTCACTTTCCCCATTTGTAAGGTAGAGATGTTGGGCAAGATGCTTTCTGAGCTTCCTTCTGGTTCTGACATTCTATGTGAAGGAGGCATACTTGGGAAAGGGTTGGATATAACACGACCTGTTTTTTTTTTTCTTTTTGGACAGTGTCTGTTGGCAATATTGGCATTAGCTTTCTGCTGTTCCCCAAATCAAGAAGCTCAGGAATGAATGTGTCCGTGGTTCTGTGATTCTATGAGCTAACTCTGTTCAGTGCCTGAGTGGGAGCTGAAGAGAGGATGTAACGAGGATATCTTAGTTGACTGACCTCAGAGACAATCTCTGGTAGGGAGTAATGAATAGAAGATTGGGTCTGGCATTGCAGGAATTGGTTTCAAATCCCAGCTCTCCCATTTATATGTGTGATTTGAAAAGGGCACCCAGTCCTCAAAATATCTTCCCAGTGATCTGAAATTCTATAATCTGAAATTCTACCATTAGAATCATTTCTTAAGATCCTGCAAATGCCTTATTACGCCAGAACTCCAGGGAAACGTTATTTGTTGTTGCTCATTCGTTTTTCAGTCATGTCTGATTATCTGTGACCCCTTTTTGGGGTTTTCTTAGCAAAGATACTAGGGTGGCTTGCCATTTCCTTCTCCAGCTTATTTTACAGATGGGGAAACTGAGGCAGACAGGATTAAGTGAGAGGTCATACTTGAGTATGACTAACTGAGTGAGGAGACTCAAGATGAGTAACCGTGGAGGCAGAAGCACTCACATGGAAAAAAAGGAGACAGGAGGGAAGGTTGTCTCCTTCACCATCATGTTGGGGGCCAGCATTCAAAATGGCGTATAAGTATGTGTGTAGACCCCCTGGTACCCATAGACCATACTTAACCTGAATGACAAGTTTAGGTACTCATGGACAAGAAGGTAGTTTAAATGCTGGGGTGGGAGGGTTTGGGGGGGGGGGAATTTTCCAATTTTATGAATTCACTGTTTCTCGAACAAAGCCTAAGCTTTGCTAACATGCCTTTGCTCACGATGTACTCCCTGCTTGGAAACCCCTCTTCTCTGTTTCTTACTTATCGAAATCTTACTCATCCTTCAGGCTCAGATCACTCTCCCCACCCCCTCCTCCATGAATCCTTGCCTGCCTGCTTCATCCTCAGGTACTCTTTCCTGTCTCTGCCATTCTTTGGGCACTTGGCCCACACTCCTTTTTACTTTGTGGTATCTTTTCCCATGTTAATTTCTGAACTGGTCCAAAGACGTAAAGAATCTGTTCATTCTTCGAGACACAACTCAAGTGCTGCCTCGTCCATCCTGCTTTCCTTGTCTACTTTTGGCCCTGGGTTATTCATGTCTCGTCTACACGACCTGAGTGCTTACTCTGTATTATTCATATGAAGGGAATGCATGGTTTGGGGACGAATTTAATGTGACATTTAAGGGCTCTTCCAATCTGAGATACTGTGGCTACAGTATGTGGAATGTCTATAGCTACTCCATAAACTCCTCTAAGGCAATAATAAAAAGTTGACCTAATCTAATGGAAAGAAGGATAAATTTAGAGGCAGAAGACCTGAGTTCAAACTCTGACCATACCACTCTACAATAAGACCAAGTCACTTACCTCTCTGGGTTTGAGTGTTTTCATCTGTAAAATGAGAAGGTTGGGCTAGATGATCTCAAAAGTTTCTTCCAACTTGAAATAGACAATCCTAAGTTTGTGGATTATTAGAACCCAGAGTTAGAAGAACCAAAGAAGGTATTCTAATTTAATCTCTCCTTTATATGGAAAGAAGAGATTGAGATTCAGAATGATAATTGAACTTGCCCAAGGATTCAAACCTAGGCCTCTTCTTCCAAATCCTGTGTTTTCAGAAACCTCCAACAGGTTTACCTGTATGAAAGGCACCTATTCATTTAGGAATCTCTAAAATGATGACATACATCTCTGCTATTCCTCTATTGAACAACTAAGATCTTAAGTTCTCTCTCATTGGTCAAAACTGCCCCACGATGAAAATGCCTTCTTGGGTACTAAAATTCATACCTTTAGATTTTAAAACAGTTTTATTGATATCTTTGTTTTTATATCATCTACATTCCCCAATATGCCTTTCCCTTCTCCCCTATAGAGCCATTCCTTAGAATAAAGAATTAAAAAGTGGGGAAAAAAATTCAGCAAAACTAACCAACAAACAAATCAAGTTCAACATTGCATGAAGTGCTCCATACTCCCAGTTCCCCACCTCTACAAAGCAAGGAGGGTGTTGCATTCTCATATCTCTTCTTTGGGGCCAAGGTTGCATAACTTTTCATTTGTTCACTCATTTTCAATTCATCTGTTGGATTAATGCAAACGCTTCTGGCGTTCTTTCTCATAGCCGACCACATAATTCGAATTACTTCCTGTAAAATAAACCATAGTTGTATCAAAATAATGGTATCAACTTTTCCCTCTCTCCCTTCAGCCTCCCCTCAAAACAAACAAACAAAGCCTCCAGTATCTTTCTACTCCCTACAGAATAGTATAGTGGAAAGAGCACTGGTTTTATATTTGAAAGACCTCGTTTTGAATCAGTTCTGATATTAGTTGTATGAACCTATGCAAATCACTTCATGGTTGTTGTGCCTCAGTTTTATCATCTGAAAAGTGGGCACCTTGGTGTAAGAATAACAATAATTATAATAACTAGCATTTATATAGTATTTAAAGATTTGCAAAGCACTTTGCATATATTAACCCCTTTGATCCACACAACAATCCACGATTTAGGTGTTGCTATCCACATTTAATAGATGAGTAGTGGATAAATTGTAGGAAGACCCGGGTTCCAATGTCACTTCTGATATTTAGTAGCTATGTAACCAAGAATGAGTCATTTTTAAAGATCTTTAAGCCTCAATTTCCTCATTCTAAAAACAGAATAATATCTCTTCTACCTGTACCTTATAGGGCAGTTGTGAGGTTCAAATGAGAAAATGTATGTTAAGCATTTTGCAAGCTTTAAAATGCCATACAAATACCAGATAATTATTATTACCAACCTCAAGAGGTGGTTGTGGGAAAGTTCTTTTTGTAAACCATAAAATACTATAGAATGGGAGCTAATTTTATTACTATTACTAAAATAACTCCTGTTCTTGGCCTTCAGTGCCCTCAGAGCCCTGGCCTCAATCTACCTTTTCTGTTATCTGTTGCAATCTACACTCTATACAACCCAGCCTTTCTAGACTAATTTCCATTCCCCAAACATTCCTTATTCCTCCCTGACTTGTCATTCTCATCAGTGGAATATCCATCCAATATGCTCCCAAATCTCTGCCTATCAAAATCCTTCAAGGCCTAGCTCAAATGCCACCATCTCCAAGAAACCTTCCTTTATTGACTTCCTCCTTCTCCCTTACTTACATGCATTCCTATAGTTTGCGGTGCTTATGTATACTGCATCACATTCTGCCTTGTATTCATGTGCTAGTATTATTATAAATTTTCCCTATTAGACTGTCTCAATAAGACAGCTGCTCTAAGCTGCCAGAGCCCATTCCTAATATCTATATTCTCTAACTGATACACTGTGGTTGGGAATCATGGAACACCATGATCCCAGAGGAATCCCAATGACAGACAATAATGATGGACAAGAGAAAGGAAGGTGGTACGTGTAAGTAGGAGGGAACCTGTCCTTAGGACTATAGCATCATAGATTTAGAGCTAAAAAGGACCTGAAAGATCATCTAGTAGATGCCTTCATTTTACAGAGGAAGAAACTGAGGCCCAGCATAGTTACGTGACTTCCCCAAAGCATGCTGACACCAAGTAGCAGAGGGAAATTTGAAACCAAGTCTTAAGACTTCAGATCTAACACTTTCCACTGTGCTTAGTAGAAAAGGCATCCTGAAGGACAGGGATGTCTGGGAAAGGAGGTTGTATGGCTACATGGGGCCAATCAATGATTAGCAGATCGATAGTCCAAACGCCATGCTGGTAGCCTTGAAATACTAAAGGAACCATGGCAAGGCCTTTCAGTGCCTTGGATCAGTCATCCAAGGAGGACTTATGGAAAGGCGTGGATGAGAATCATTCACAGTAGGAAGACATGGAGAGATTCTGATCTGCACTGGGGTAAGCTGTGCCCACACTGAAGCATTTAAATAGATGCTACACTCTAAGTTCTGTGAGGGCAGGGATTGTGTCTTGAACAACTTTGTATCCTGCACAGTTCCCAGCACAATGCCTCAAGCACAGCTGGAACAACACAGATAGTGGCTGAATGAATGGAAGGAAGGAAAGAAGGAAGGGAGGAAGGGAGGGAGGAAGGAAGGATGAAGAAATGAATGAAGAATTACCAGAAGACACAAATGTAAATCGAAAGATGCTGTGGTATAATGGCAATAGCAATGGACTGAGTGGGAGGAGACTTGTATTTCCATGTCGGTTCTGCTACTCATTAGCCATGCGACCAGAGCTAAGTGATCTTCTCTATATATCAAGGGAGGTGGACTAAATTACCTTTAAGATTCCTGCTCCTTTTCACACTCAATTAACACTATGGGATTTAATTTAATCACAGATTTTTTTTAAAAAAGTTAAGTGTTTTCATTTCATTCTAGCAGTACCAATTCACACAGGCCTTCCATTAATCTTAAGAAAACTGGATATGTGAGCATCTTCCAAACATAGATTAGCAGGTGAATTTTTACATTTCAAAAGTCTTCCCTCCATGAGAGGCAAAGGGAAGAGGGGCAAGGATGGAGAAAGAGAGTAAAATGAGAGGGATTATGAGAAGAGTCAGTCGGTTGATAAGATCATATATTAAACCCCTACTGTATTCCAGGCACTGTGCTAAGTACTAGGGATACACAGAAAGACACAAACATGGTCACCAGGTGACAGACATAATGCCATTCTCTGGGCAGTAATTCAATCCCTCCCAGCCTGCTAGGACCTTTTAAGGTTATGCCTAGCTGGTATTGCCTTCCAGAGCCCAGGGTCACTCCCATGTCATAATGGGATATCAGAGGAGGACGTTCGTAGCAGGTTGGTGATACACATTATACTAGTTGATTGGTAAAACAACCCAGTGCGGGAGGTTTTGTAAGTATTACCACCACTTTATAAATTTAAAAAAAAAAAAAGGGTCAGAGAAATTCAATGACTGGCCGACCAGAGCTAGGAAGAGATAGAGCTGGGACTCAAACCCATATCTATTTGACTTCAAGTCTTCTTTTTTTTCACTTTGGCAATTGTCACTTATTCTTTAGCCAAAAAAAGACACTCTGCCTTCTTTCATGTGCGCACAACACAGGAATAAACAAAAGAAGAACACACTCTTATCTTACCCACAACGTCCTTGTAAGATTTATGTTTTAGGCTTTGTCCATCTGGAAAATCAACAAGAAAGACTTCTGGTTAGGATGGTAACTTGAAAGGTCTTAAAGAAAACTAGCTTCCCCATAAACACCCCAGCAAAGATCTAAAAGGGCATTAGATGGAATAATGATAAAGGAGAACAAGGAGAAACATCAATAAACTCCTCCATGCAGTCGAGGAATACACACAAATATCGCCAAAAGCCTGCAGGCACGTGGAGAGGCAATGGGGGTGGGGGTGGGAATGGGGAGCCAGCCTGGGGGCTCAGAAGCAAGGCCTGAGGCCAGATGCATTGGGGGAGGGAGAGGTTTGGGGAGGAGGCATGAAGCTAGAACAATCTCCCACAAACAGGATCTTAAACCAGTGGGATCTTGGCCCTAGCCTCTTGGAACAGTTGTGTTGGTGGGGAGAGGGGTAGATCATTGCACAATGAGTTGAGGCTAAGCAGAGTATGCTTTGAAGCACTCATAGGTATAAGCTTGAGACAGGGAAAGTTCAAGGACCAGGCAAACGCTCCAGGAGACCTTCCAGGAAGCCTGAGATCAATACAATCTCTGACATCACATTGTAGCTTATAGGGGCCATAGCTAGGGATGAAGCCCACTCCAGAGACAGGCCAAAGCAAGCAGCTGCCTTTGACCAAGAGGAGATAAGGGCAGAAGTCTGGGATTGTGGCCGAGGGTGCTGCATTGTCTCAGCCACCAAATCCAGAGCTAGACTGGCATCAGCAGCCAGACTAAGAGGGGCAACAGGACCTGAGGAGGCCTGACCACCACTTCCAATACTTCACGATTGGCAGAGCCTGCAGTCTCAATCTAGGACCAGAGGCTGGAAATAAGAGGAAGTAAAGTAAAATTTTGAATACATTATAGAAATACTATGGATTAAGAGAAGTCTGAGAGGCGAACCAAGAAGAAAAGAGTCTCTCCAAAAGAAGTTGCTAGCAGAGTCTCAGAGAAATGAATGGCTTAACCACAAAGACTTTAAGAGTGATTAAAAGAAATGAAACAAAAGAAAAAATGAAATTAAAGTACTTGAGGAAAAAACTGGAAAGAGAATAAAATGGTTTAGAATAGAAGGTGAGAAAACTTATCCAAGTAGTAGATTCCCTGAAAAATAGAATGGAGCAAACAGAACTCAATGATTTCATGAGACAATAAAAAAAATTAGAAGGAATTCAAAAGATACCAAAATTAGAAGAACACACAAGGTATCTACTATAAAAAACAACTGATCTATCAAAAAGTCAAAGAAAGATAATTTAATAATCATTGTACTCCCTGAAAACATAACCAAAAGAATAAAAAAAAAACATGATGCTATATTTCAGAAGAGTCATAAAATAAATTGCCCAGCTCTATTAAAGGGCAAAATGGACAGAGTAAAAATAGAAAGAATTTACCAGTTACACCCTGAAAGAAAATGAAATAGAAATAATTTACTAATCACCTTCTGAAAGAAATCCTAAACTGAAAACACCCAGGAACATGATAGCCCAAATCTAGAGCTTTCAAGTTGAAGAATAAGAAATATTGTAGTCAAGCCAGAAAGAAAGAGTTCAAACACCAAGGAACTATAGTCATGATCACACAAGACTACACTGCTACTACTATGCAAGAGAAAAACCTAGTCATATGATAGTCTAAAAGGAAAAAGAAAAAGGCTTACAACCAAGAGTAACATATAGAAAACTGAGTATAATTATATAGGGGGAAATGGATGTTTAATAGAATAGAGGACTTGCAATTATTTCTTGTAAAAAAGATCAGAGATGGGTACAATACAAACACTGAAATGAAAATATTGGAGACAAGAGAAACACAAAAAAGTAAATACATTTGACCAACTGAAATAGGCTAAATGATGATGAAATAGTAAGATTCTATAGGGGGAGAGGAAACAAGTATAAGAATGAATGATTCTGGGTGAGGTAAAGAGAAAGAGAGGAATGAAATAAGGCCACTTCACTTACAGATAACTAATGCTGATAACATTTCACTTGTCATCTTCTTTTTTGTAAAGAGGAGATAGGGAGAAAAGAGAAGAAAAAGTAAAAGAAGATATAATTGTGGAAAAAATGCAATTGGTAATTAGCGTGAATTGGATGAACTCATCCATCAAAAGGAACTTGAATCAGAAAGTAGAATCCAGCCATATATTGTTTAAGAAAACACAATTGAAATATAAAATTAAAATGAGCATTTCAGCATTCTATTGAAGTAGAATTTATTTTGCCTCATCTGAGTTAAAAAACAAACAAACAGGAGCAGCAATCATGGTCTCAAATGAGGCAATAGTAAAAATACACATACTTAAAAGACGGAAACCATATTATGCTTTAAGGCACCACAGATAATGAAATAATATCAATTATATATATATATATACATATATATTACATATATTGTGTATATGTATAGATATATATATGCCACACACACACACACACACACACACACACACACATACACATACATTGAATAGCACAAAGAAAGCTAATTGAATTATAGGAAGAAATAGCAAAACTACAATAGTTTGTGACCTCAATGTACTCCTTTCAGATCTAGACAATTCTAACAAAAAGATGAACAAGAAATATGTTAAGGATATGAAAGAGTTTTAGAAAAGTTAGATATGATAGAACTGGAGAAGAAGAAGAAGGAAGGGAAAGGAATAAGCATTTATTAAGCACCTACTAAATACTAGGCACTGTGATGAGCACTTTAAAAATATTATCTCATTTGATTCTCACAACAACCCTGGGAGGTAGGTGTTATTATTTTGCATTTTACAGTTGAGGAAAATGAGACAGACAAAGGTTAAATGACTTACCTGGGATCACAAAACTAGCAACTATTTGAAAATGGATTTGAACTCAGGTCTTCCTGATTCTAGGCCTACCACTCTATCCACTGCACTATTTATTTGCCTCTAGGCAAAGGAATACCTAGAGGTAAATAATTTTTTGGGAAAGAAATATATATATTTTTCAGTAGAGCATGGAACTTTGACAAAAATTAACCATGTGTTAGGGCAGGTTTGGCAAACTATGATTTGAGGGCCAAATCTGGCAAGATTCTTGAGATTCATGCCTTCCCGTGAGCCTCAATTAGACAGATCATGTATATATACATATAACCTACATGGTCAACATGCATGTCCTATACACACAGAGAGAACAAAGAACATCAATGAAATACCTTAAAAATACACAAAAGAGAGCAGAAGGAAGTTTAGAAGGGGTCAAAGACAATCAGGGAATGCTAGTACTACAATGTTAAATTCAATATATACTTTAAATTCTTAGATTCTCCATTTCTTAAGCAATTCTATTTCTCTGATTTTCTTTGTATATAGAAATGTTCATGTTTGTCAAGCTCATAATAATAAAAAAGAAAATTGCTAAACCAAAATAAAGAAAAAAAAACCAAGAAGGTCTCTCAGAAATTAGGACAGTTTTAAACATGCTATTGGGTGGGCATCTTTTTAAATTACAAATTATATTAATAATTTAATTTGATTATATAATAAAATCCAATGTAACGTGTTATATTATATTCAAATAATAGATTTTATTGAAACACAGGATCCTAGGGTTTAGAGCCAGAAGGAAATTTAGAAATTGTCCAGCTTAACATCAACCAACATTGTCCTCATCAACAATTATTCACATTTCTATAGTACTTCATATTTTACTATGTGCTTTCCCATGAATGATATGAATTCTTGTCTCCAGTTTATAGATGGGGAGACTGAGGTTTATAGAGTGAAGTGGCTTGCCTATAGTCTCACAGCTAGTGATTGAATGTGAGAGCTGGATTTGAAACTGGGATTTGTACCTCCCTAAGTCCAGTGCTTTTTCAGCCAAACTAATGACTGACCCAATGCCCATGGATTAAGTAGCAGATCCAGAATTTGAAGCCAGCTCACTTTCCTTGACACCGTCATGGGAACTTTCATATGAATCCAGTTATCGTAGAAACAGGAAATATAAATGTAAGCAGATTAAAAATGGAGACTATGTGAATGAGCTTCTTATGGATCACTTCAGTCGTAAAATTATACTAGCACTAATTAAAGTTTAAATTTTGTCACTGGAGCTCCTGTTTGTTTTGCTCTGTTATGTGAATTCATGAGTAAAGAAGTTTTCAAAGGAGTATGACTCATTTTTACAATTGATTTCATGCAGTGTACTTCAAAGGATACCACATTTAAAGCCCGAATCTAAAGTTATACTCCCTGTATACAGTAGTTACTTAAACAATGTTTGTTGTTTATAATTGTCATTGCTATAGTCAAACTAGATTGGTCCATGCCAGTAGTTCTCAAGCTTTTTGGTCTCAGGATCCCTTTACTCTCTTAAAAATTACTGACATCCCAAAGAGTTTTTATTTAAAAATTTGTTTTTATTTATTTGTAAAAAACTTATTTTTATGTATTTGTTTTAATTTATTTGTAAACTATATATTATTTTATGTTTGTTTTTATTTATAAAACATTATTGTATTTGTTATAATATGTAATTACATATTATATATAAGTGTATGTAATCTATAATTTACATTATATATTATATATAATTGTTAAAATAAAATATGAACAAATATTATAAAGGTGAGCTATTTATTGTTGTTGTTGTTCAGTCATTTCAGTCATGTCTGACTCTCGGTGACCCCATTTGGGGTTTTCTTGGCAAAGATACTGGAGTGGTTTGCCATTTCCTTCTCTAGCTCATTTTGGAAACAAGGATTTAGAACAAACAAACAAAAGTAGAAGCTTGTAAACTGGGCTGGATTCTCAAATGTATATATTGCGAATCTCTGAGCTGAGAGGGACCATGGAGCCAACAAGCCCAACCTGTACCTGAATAAGAATCCTCTAAGACTCACTGGGCAATATCACAAATATTTCCTTTATGAGACAGCCAGAGTCCACTGGACACGGCAAGCAATGAACACCCTGATAAAATGTTATTATAGTCAGTGTAATTTCCTATATCTCATCGGACAAGAAATGAACGGTAGCTAATAAGAGAGACATTTCTAAATTAGCTATTATTATTATTATCAATGTACAACCAGAAGGGCCATCAAGCAATGTCCTCAGACCATCAAGAAGCACACCAGAAAAGCCCCAAGGATCCAGTATTCTGAACTTCAGAGATCGAAGAGGGCCTAACCCCGGGAGGATTAAGAGGTCAGTGCAAGAATCAGCACGAGACTGAGCAGGGTCAACCATCTGATCCAACAGGGTAGCAGATGGTAAGCCTGATCCTTACACAAAACCCCAATTCAGGAACTAAAGCTGAAGAGATGAGTAAATCAAAGACAACACTAGGCGGTATTAAAAAATTACTATAAATTAGAGGTTCTCCAACATGAGAGAACTCATAAACAACTGCAAATGGATAGAAAGGGGGGGAAATGAATTTTCTACAAAGACTACACAAATAACTAGAAAAATGGGAGCAATAAATAAAAAATAAAATAAAAGTTCTGGAGGAAAGAAATGGAAGGAGAATTAATAGTCTAGAAGAGGAAAGGGTAAATGTGAACCAAGAAATGGATTCCCTGAAAATTAGAATAGACTAAAAAGAAATTGTTGACTCCATGATACAGCAAAAAAAAAATCAAAATTAAAAAATAGAAAAAAAAATTAAGATCTGATATAAAAAATAATTGACCTGGAAAACTAGTCAAGGAGAGATAATTTAAGAATTAGTGGACTTCCTGAAAACCATTTTTTAAAAGTCTGGATACTATCTATCAAGAAAGTAAAAAATGAAAATTGCTCAGATCCATTGGAACCAAAGGACAAAGTGAAGATAAAGATCCCTGATCACTTCTTGTCAGGAACCAAAAACCAGAAACCAGGATAGGTCCCAGGAAAAAGTCCTAGGAATGTCATAGCCAGAATCCAGAGGTCCCACATTAAAAAAAAAAAATGCTGCATACATCTTGAAATAAGCAATTCAAATACCAAGGAACCACAGTTAGAATCACTCAAGACTTGGCAACTTCTACAAAACAGAGATCTTGTAATTCAATCTTCCAAAAAACAAAAGATAGGCTTACAACCAAGATTAATTTGCCCTGTAAAACTGAGTATAATCCTATTGGGGGGGTGGGTAGGGGAAAATGGACTTTTAATGGAACAGAGGACTTTCAAACATTTATGACTAAAAGACTAGAGCTGAGGAGGAACTTTGAAATACAAATATGAGTGCAGAGAAACCTAGAAAGGTATTTTGTTTTTTCATTTGAGCAACTGGAATGGGGTTGTATGATAATGTATTCTTTAAAGGGCATTGAGAGAGTTAAATAAGAATAACAAAAGTCCTGATTCTAGTCTGAAGGTTTGGAGAGGGAAAAGAGGATGGGGCAGGGGCAAGGGGTAAAGGAATGCATCAGTATAAAAAGAAGATGGGGGTGGACTTTGTAATTTCTCATAATTGGGGCATATGAGAAGAAAAATATAGAAACATAGAGGAAGGAGTGGGAAAGTGACTACCAGATGAAATGGACAAAGGAGATTTGAACATACACATTTACACAAACAGTTTAATATAGAAATATATCAGTCTCAACAGAAAACAAGCAGGGGTGGGGAAAGGGTCAAGGGGGAGAATGATACCAAGGAGGGAGCAGGGAGCAGTCACAAGCAAAACAAGCTTCCTGATCCTAAGGGAGGGATTGTAAGGGGGAAAAAAAGAAAAGATGAGGAATCTAAGGGGGCACCTTAGGTCATCTCTCAGACAACTGGGGAGTGGCTGAACAAATTGTAGCCAATTAATTAATGGAATATTATTGCACCATAAGAAATTATAAAAGAGGTTGTTTGAGAGAATCCTGGGTAGTATGAGCTGGTGTAGGGAAGTGGCCAGAACCAGGAGAATTATTTATACAAGGACAGCAACATTCTAAAGAAAAAACAACTTTGAAAGACTGAAGAACTCCGATCAATGCAATGACCAGCCATGTCTGCTGAGGACCAGTGATGAAGCATGCTGTCTATCCCCTGATAGAGAGGTGATGGACAAAAGGTACAGAAAGAGGTCTATATTTTTGGACATGGCTACTGTGTGGTCTGATTATGCTCATCTGTTACAAGGGTGTTTCTTTTTTCCTTTTCTTTCTCTTGGTTTTTATCTGGAGAGAAGGGAGTTGAAAGGGAAAGGAGTTAGCAATAGTGATTTAAAAAAAAAAGGAGGGCCATGGAAACATCTTTTTAAATGCACAGAAAAGAACAGAAGGAAATTAAGAAGGATGTACAGACAAGCAAGACAGTTTTGAAAGTTAAATGTAAAATTTATTATATATTTTTTTTGGCTAGGCAATGGGGTTAAGTGACTTGCCTAGGGTCACACAGCATTATATATATTTTTAAAAGTATCTAACATCCAGCTAGAGTACACAGTAAGTATTCAATTAATGCTTGTTCATTGGTTGATTGTTCCATAGAACCCAGGAAACAAAAGCAAGACTTAAGTTTTTAAAGATTAGAATATCTGAATATGATTTCAATGGGTTTTTATACAATTTTTAAAGATTCCTGATTTCTGAGGTATCATGCATGACCTTTCAATGGAGTTATGATGGCACAGGGGGAAAGAGTGCTTGACTTGGAGTCAGGAAGTCCCGGATTTAAGTCATTTCTTAGACTAGCTGTGTGACCCTGAAAACGTCACTAAAGTGCTCTCAGACTTAGTTTCCTCATCTGTCAAATAGAGATAACAATAACATCTTTAAAATAGGGATAACAACATTCAGTGTTGTTGTGAGGATCAAATGTAAAGCACTTGTGAACCCTTAAGGAGCTTTTATTAATTATTAATATTGTTAATGATTATTAATAATTAATCAAATTAATTGTTAGTAATAAGAAGGTTAAATGACCTGTATTAGAAAATGCAAGTAATAGAAAAGTATCATTCATCTGGAAAGGTCTCCCATATCACTTGACTGTGGTCCTGCCCTCAGAGAGCTTACAGTCTGAGAGGTGGCTGATGGGATAGGGCCTGGATAAATACATGAAGCAGTTAGAGAACAGGTACTTGATCTTTGACTGAAGTCTAGAGGAGTTCAGGAGCATGGAGCAGAATAGAAGGGTTAGGGAACTCTTCACAGGGAAGGTAGAACCCTGAATCCTTTGATCCTGTGAGTTCAATAGAGCTGTGAAGGATGGAAAGAATTTACAAGAAACAAAGGTAGGGACCAGCTAGGTGGTGTAGTTCATAGAGCACCAGCCCTGAAGTCAGGAAGACCTGAGTTCAAATTTGGACTCACACACTTACTAGCTGTGTGACTCTGGACAAGTCACTTAACCTCAATTACCTCCGAAGGAAGGAAAGAAAGGAAGGAAGGAAAGAAGAAAAGAAGAAAGGAAGGGAGGAAGGAGGGAGGGAAGGAGGGTTTGGGCTAATGAATAGTGGAATTAGAAAAAGGTAGGAGTAGAATATATCGGTGTTTTCTGACCTGCCTTAGGAACTAGTAATGGTCAAGTAAAAGGTCTTTAAAATTGCTGCAAGGAAATTAAACAGGCCAGATGGAATGTCCTCTCCACCCCCCATCACCTGTTCTTCTTTCTCACCCAACTCCGTGCCTCTCCCAAGCCATCCTTATACCTGGAATAGCCTCCTTCCTCCAGCCCTCTGTCCTCCTGTGTCCCAATGCCTTCTTTTCTTAAAGGCCCAGCATCAGCTTTCCCATCCACAAAGCCTGCCCCAGCCCTCCCAGGGTGAGCGTGTTCTCCCCCGTTTCCCTTCAACGTTGTCTGGATCTTTCTTTCACCCTATCACATTCTACCTCATAGACTCGCTATCTGAGGGTAGCCTGCACCTGCCTCCCCCCACCCCATCAGACTTGGGGCTCCTTTAGGCAGGAGCAGGGCCAGCTTGGCCTCCTCTGTGCTGAGCTCACTGCCCCTTCTGTGGTAGGCACCACTGTGGATGAGCTCACCAGAAGCCTTCCGCTGCTTGATGCATTGCCCTCTGTTGGGGATGCCCTCCGCAGAGTTTCCGGGGTTTATGATGTGACATTCGTAGCCAGTGGGGCAGTGAAGAGGTTCCGCCCCATCCTCTGTGGTGCTGCAGGCCTCTGCTGGAAGAGACACAGAGAAAAGCCCCGGCTTATTGTCCAGTGCAAGATTCTGCCGAGGTCAACCATCTCGCCTCTTTCTACAGAGGCTGGCTTTGTGTCCTTCACCCAGTCATTCAGCCGTCCCCATGGAGGGGACACAAAATTGGAAGGGCACTCAGGGTCATCCAGCCCATAGGCTCTTAATTATTTATTGTGTCCTGGACCCCATGGCGAAGCCTGCAGACCCCATCTCAGAATCATGGTGTTTAAATGCATAAAGTAAAATACATGGTATTACCAGGAAAGCCAATTCTATTGAAATACAGTTCTCAAAATATATTTTTAAAACTAACCCAAGTTCACAGACTTCAAGCTAAGGACCCATGATTTCTAGTCCAACCCATACCTAAGCAAGAATTCCCGCTAAAACATTCCCAATAAGTGAACATTGGGCTTCTACTTAAATACCTCCACCGATGGGGAACTCATTATCTACCAAGGTAACACATTTCACTTTTAGACAGCACTAAATGTTAGGAAGTTTTTCTTTACAAAGAAGGCTAATACCTCCTTTCAATTTCAACCCAGTGCTCTTGGGTCAGCTTAGAACAAGTCTATTCCTTTTTTCCCATAAGAAGACAAGGATTGGACCTATGATTTAATTAATACCTGTAGGGAACACCCAGCTGAACAAACTCCCTCTGACCATGCAGACTGGCACCTTCTCTGCAATTTATAGACTCAGTTGTCTGGGGATACCAAGAGGTTAAGTGACTTGCCCAAGGTCACACAGTCTGTGCCAGAAGCAGGATTTGAACCCAGATCTTTCTGACTCTGAAGCCAACGCTCCATCCACTATGCTATCCTTTCAAATACTCGAAGACATTTCTCGTCTGCCTCTTGGCTTCCTTCAAGTCTTAGCTGAAATTCTACTGTCTATAAGAAGACATTCCCTGTTCCTTTTGAGGCTAGTGTCTTCCCTGTAATTATCTCTAATTATCCCATCTATATCTTGTTTGTACGTAGTTGTTTTCTTATTATCTCCCCTCTTAGATTGTGAGCTTCTCCAGGAAAGGGGCTGTCTTCTGTCTTTCTTTGTATCCCTACTGCTTAGCACAGTGCCTGGTACATAATTGGTGCTTAATAAATTAATGAACTGCTGGGGCCTGAAATTCCACCATTAGAGCCTCAGTCCTCTGGCTTAAGATTTTGATCCCTATTACAATGCAAGTCTCTCCGGTTCTCTTCCCCCAAGAATTTTTCCACTTCGAGCCATTAGCATCCATTTACACCTTTAAGGCAATGAATTCATCGACTACTTTACAGAGAATGGCTTCTGAGGAGGCCCTGGAATCGAACTCAGTGGAGGAGACAGCGAGGCTGATGACTTTGCCCAGTCCTACCTCACTTAAATCCAGTTCAAGTGCAGGTCAAGACATCACCCTTTGCTGGGTCCTCTTCAAGAATGAAGGATGAGTAACACCCAAAATAGCTAATAACAGCTACCATTTATACAGCAGTTACTAAGAGCCAGGCACTGTGCTAAGCTCTTTACAATTACTATCTCATTCGGTCCTCACAACAACCCTGGGAGGTGAATGTGATTATTATCCTTATTTTACAGGTGAGGAAACTGAGGCAAACAGAGGCTTGTTGTAAGTCAGATTTGAATTTGGGTCTTCTTGACTCCAGGTTCTATCAGAGGATACAGACCCCCTATTGATGAAGGAGAAAGGGGGATATTAGAGAGTATTGTCAAAATCATAGAATGCCGAGGACCTTAGTACATAACTTGTCAGAGAAAGAAAAGGACCTGAAAACACAGTCAGGGTTGGAAGTGATCTTAGAGATGGTGCTATGTACCCACTGTACAGATGATGAAACTGAGGGAAATGAAGACAAACTTCTTCCTCTGAATACTCGTCATCTAGGAGGAAAAATCCCAAGTTAAAACAGACACCAGAGAGAAATGTCTGCCTCCTTAAGATCAAGGGGTGTGTGTGTGTGTGTGCTATATCTGCTATGCTTAACAGATCTTGATGCAAATGTACCAGAAGCACACATGAGGACCAAGAGAGGGCGTCAGATTCCTATCTTCTCTTCCCTGGCCCTCTTCTTTCCCTCACTCTCTCTGCCATGTCTGGGTGAAGGCAGCCTAATAGGGACGCATATCCCAGGACTTTTTTTTTTAAAGCACCAGCCCCTTGAACAATTTCTTTCTCCCCACTGGCTGCCTCCTTCCCTCAGCCCAGTTACCAGCCACCAGGATGGGGAAGAGGAAGGAAAGAAGGACAAGCAGCCCACCCCACCCACCTCACTAGGGATGGTTTTGACTGCAGAAAGTATTCCAAGGCAAACTTCAAAAACTGTCAGTTCCTAACATTCAGGTCAAGTAAATCAGAAAAACCAGCGTCCAGCATAGGCTTGCTTAGGTTGGAAACTAGGATTAGAGCTAGAACTAGGAATTTTGACACAAAATTTAAATTCAGTTTAGCAGAGTTGGAGGGGCACACAGAACAGTTTGTCCATGGGTCCAATTGTGCTGGAATGGGAGCATCCCGTTCCCCAAAGGCAGCCAGGTGGTGCAGTGGGTCTAGAGTCAGGGAGAACTAAGTTCAGATCTGGCCTGTGTGACCCTGGGCAAATCATCTAACCTCTGTTTGCCTCAGCTTCCTCAACTGCAAAGCAGGGATAATAATAGCATCTACTAATACCTACTATTAAGCAGCTAGGTGGCGCAGTGGATAGAATGCTGGGCCAGAAGTCAGGAAGATTCATCTTCCTAAGTTCAAATCTGGCCTCAGACACTTCCTATCTGTGTGACCCTGGACAAGTTTGCCTCAGTTTCCTCATCTGGAAAATGAGCTGGAGAAGGAAATAGCAAACCACTCCAGTGTCTTTGCCAAGAAACCTCCAAATGGCATCATGAAGAGTTGGACACAGCTGAAAAAACAACTCAAAAACAACAATGCTAACTAACACCTTAGGAAAAACACCGAGTAGAGGAGTGAGTGAATTGTGCCAGATGAGTAAATAAAGCCACTAAATCCTATGCCAATTGTTTGGCATTTCAACCTTTACCCTAAGAGGGTATTTGTCATTTATAACAAGTAAGTACCAAGGGCTAAATAAAAGTATTATCTCCCAAAGCTACATTCCTTGATACCAAAGCCAGAAGTGCATCAATGAATTGTAGGTTTAGAGTTCATTTAGTCATCATCACCCCCTGTTACAACCCCCGGGGGTGATGATCTAGCAATATCCCTATCAGGTGGCCATTCAATCCCTGCTTGAATACATCCAACAACAGGGAACTCACTAATTAATGTGGCAGCCCAGTTACATGTTCCTAGGACCAGTGTGATGTAGAGGAAAGTTCTCTGGACCTGTGTTCAAATCCCAGCTCCACCAATTACTAGTCAGGCAAATTTGGGCTAGTCATTTCAAGTCCAAACCTCAGTTTCCTCATGCAAAAAAATGAAGAGGGTTAGATCAGAGGATGTCTAAGGTCCCTTCCTGTTTCAAATCTAACATCAGAACATCCACTACTCTGTAAGACAGCTCCATTTAAGGAAGGCAACCCACACCAGACCATGCCTTCATTTCCCCACCAGGCTGTATCATTTGGACTTCTTCATCATATCACACACCAGGTCCCACCCCATCCCCCACCTCAGATTCCTTTTGTGTATCTTCTTCAACAATAGAATATAAGCTCCTTGAGGACAGGGGCTGTCTTTCTTTGTGCTTGTATTAGTATTCCTAATGTTTAGTTCAGGGTCTGCCCCATTTAGTCATTGTTTAGTCACTTTTTCAATCATGTCCAACTCTTCATGCGGCCATTTTGGGTTTTCTTGGAGGAGATACTTGAGTGGTTTGCCATTCCTTCTCCAGTTCATTTTACAGATGAGGAAACTGAGGCAAACAAGGTTAAGTGACTTGCCCAGGGTCACACAGCTAGTAACGGTCTGAGACTGGATTTGAACTCAGGAAGATAAGTCTTTCTGACGCTAAGCCCGGCATTCTATCCACTGCGCCACCTAGTCACCCTGTCTGTCATATAGTAAGCACTCGATAAATGTTTGTTGACTGACAGATTGACGTGTATTAAGTTGAAATCTGCCTCTCCACAGCTCCATCCATTGTGACTATTTCTACCCTCTGGGATCAAGCAGAATAAACTTAGGTATTTTTTTGATTTAACTCTTCAGATACTTGAAGACAGCTGTCATATCCCCTCCTCCAAATGGTCCCCTCCCCAGGCTAAGCATCCCTTCAATGCATCCTCATAAAGCATGATTTGAAGGCACCTTACTGGTTGGGTGTAAGTAGCACCCAAGCATATCTGCAATCCCCTATCAGAGAACAGTTTTCTTTTTGCTTCCTGAGGTAACTGGATGACTCAGTGGTAGAGTGCTGGGCCTGGAGTCAGGAAGACCTGGGTTCAAATTCAGCCTCAGACACTTACAAGCTCTGTGATCCTGGACAAGTCATTTAACCCCTGCCTGTATCAGTTTCCCCATCCATAAAATGAAGGAGATGAAAGCACTCACTTCCCAGGGTTGTTGTGAGGATCAAACTCTATAATATTCACAAAGTGCTTAACACAGTGCCTGGCACATAGTAGGTGCTTCATAAATGAATCTTCCTCCCTTCTTTCCTTCCTTCCTTGTTGGAGATACTTTACAATGGCTTCCCAAGGGTTACCAGGCCCCTTCTGAAGTTTTCACTTGGCAGGCCCAGAATCTCTACATTTGATCAGTGACATGTAAGCTAAAGGCAGAACTGGTCGGTTATACCACGGAAGACCACACATTGTACCTTGTAAAACCTCCTCTGGTCCATCAAGCAGCCAGCCGTTGCCTCCCAGCCAGCGGGGTTTGGGCTGCACCAGCCAGTCTAGAACTAATAAAACACATGGTCACATGTTAGGCTCTTGTCATGTCCTGGCAATCCCAATAAAGAATGCTTCTTTGCTGGCTGGGCCCTAGAGTCATTTCCAGGAGCACTGCCCACTCCCCCCCATAACCCCTAAGTCTACTCACAAGAGGTAGAAAAACTAGGAAAGTGGGAAGGACTTTTGGCTGGAAGGCAAACAGGGCCTTTGGGGCACAGGGGCTGGGCCTAGGTGAAGGGACTCAGGGGCCCGTGGGAAGGCACACTCCCACCAAAGAGCACGTTTGCCCACTGAGACCTCAAATGCAGGGCTGGGGATTCAAATGAACGCCTTGGACGAGTCACTAGACTTCTCTGAAATTTGGTTCACTTAACAAATAAATGTGTTCGTATAGCCTATATCAAATTGCTTTCTATCTCAGGGAGGGGGGAAGTAAGGGAGGGAAAAAAATTAGAAACTCAATTTTTTTAAATGAATGTTAAAAATTGTCTTTATATGTAACTGGGGAAAAATAAAATAATATTTAAAAAACATAAACATGTTGCACTAAAATTTGGTGAGTGATTGCTTTGAGTTAAACACACCCCTACTCATTCCTCTTTTTAAAATTCCAAATAACTCTGGAGTTCTAACACATAAAATTCCCAATCTTAGCAGGAAGGCATCTAGCACATAATAGGAACACGATATCTTTGTTGAACTGAACAGAGTGAATTTATCAGAAGCTTTGCAAAATGCTTTATGTACTATCTCATTTGAGCTTCACAACAACCTTCAGAGGCAGGTGTTATCATTATCTTCATTTAAAGATGGGGAAACTGAGGCAGAAAGGGGTTTAAATGATTTGGTCAACCACACAGCTAGTAATCATTTGAGGTATGATTTTGAGCACAGGTAGTGAGATGATCTACTTGGTGACATTACACATGCCTGTGTGTGTACATGTATGCATATGGGCACATCCATATGTATGTATACAGGCATGTGTGTGCTGGCTGGAAAGTCAGGAAGATGTGAGTTAAAATCCTGCCTCAGGTATGTGGTCCCAGGCAAGTGATCTAACCTAGTTCAGCCTCAGTTTCCTCCTTGACAAAATGAGAACGATAGTATCTACTTCACAGGGCTGTCATGAGGATTGAGCGAGATAACATGTTGTGGTGCTTTGTAACTTATGAGCCACATACGTGCTCGGTATGCTCATAATTAGGTCTTGCTGGCTCTAAATCTAGCCCTCTAGCTACTGGGCCATCTAGTTTTATATATATACAAACGTGTGTATATATGTGCATGTGCACGTACATGTACATGTCCACACACATGTACACACAAGCATATGCGTATATAGGCATACTCCATGCACATTACAGGTCAGCACAATATAAATATATAACATACATACTTGGCAACATATATGTACATGTATATGTAAATGATACAGCGACATTCTGTGTGTGTATGCACGCATGCATGCACACACACGCGCACACACAAGCATATACATGTGCACACATACAGCATGTACATGTATGTGCCTGTTATATGCACATGCATGTCACATGTCATGTACATGTACATGTGCCTGTATCACGGTACGTGTGTGTGCATGTGTGTGCGATGCACATGTGCTGGTGTTTATATATGCATGTGTGTGTGGGTGTATGTGTAGTATACATAGACACACTCATTTGGTCCTCACAACAAACCTGTGAGGTAGGTTTTATTTTCTCTATTTTACAGACAAGAAAAGTGAAGCTAAGAGAGAAGTTCTGTCTTACCTGGAGACCTATAACCAGCTTTTAAAGCAGGATTTGAACTCAGGTCTTAACTGACTCAAAGTCCAACCGTCTATTCACCACACCACCTAACTACTTCCCAAGGCACTGAACATCCCAGGAAGGAAAATGGGGGATTGAATTTTGCCCGCTTCCTAATTTTGCCAATGTCTGATCCTCCTCGCATCCTTTCTGATGCAAATTAGTCCCCATGGCATTTCTAGCCTGCTGCCTCATATCTTAGGTCATGAGAACTGGAAAATACTTCAGAGATTAAGTAAGGTGTGCCAAAAGTCTTAGTGCAGTAATGCTCGGGACACCCTAAATATTCCAGGTCTTATTTGGCAGAGGAAGACAGTAAGACCTAGAGGAGGGAAAAATTTGCCTATTCAAAGGGATCAGGAGGGAAAGATAAAACTAGATGGTCTCTAAGGGCTTTTCCAGATTTAAAATTCTATGAATCTCCTTTGGGTTAAACATTGCTCTTTCTCACTCCTCTTTTAAAAGGTATGAGATCTAACAAGGAAGTCACTAACACTTTAGTAAGAATTTACCCAACATGGTGGTGCTCTCCCTATAGTAAATGTTTCTTTCAGCGTTCTTCCTCTTAAAGATTTTCTCCCAGACCTTGTGGCACAGAGTCTATCTATCTCAGGTAGAAACATTCTTAACTTCTGAGTGCAAGGAAGTGACCTGTGAAGCAAAAATGTCAATGGGGGTGATGCCAGTGTTCAGAGCTGATTCTACCACCACTTCCAAGAAGACTTCCCTGGTCAAACACTTACTGTGCAATCCATTCCAACAAGCTTCGTTTACTCAGGACTTACACGTGGGTGTTGGTAGTATCCTAATGTATATCCCCCATGAACCATATCCATGTTTATCCAGTCCCTGAGGCATGAAGTGTCTTGTTTGAGGAACAGCCACTTGGCCAGTGTACCTAAAAGGGAGGGAGCTTGCAGGAGAGGAAGGCATAAGAAGAAAGACAAGGCTGGAAGTAGCCAAGCTGAGGGACTTTAAATGCTGAGCCAAAGACTTTATATGTGATGCTGGGGGTAATAGGGAGCCATTGGAGCTGATTGAGGAGGGAGGTATGACTTGATCAGACTGCTTAGAAACACTACTTTGGAAACAGAGTGGAGGATTGATTGATATTGGGGAGAGATGAGGTGAGGAGGTCAGTTAGAAAGCCACTGCAATCAGCCAGGTGAGAGGAGATGGGGGACTGCCCTAAAGTTGTAGTTGTGTGAATATAGAGAAGACATCATAGAGAAGAGATTGTCATGAAGGAAAAAACAAGGTTGGACAACAGACTGGATATGTGGAGTGAGTGTGAGTGAGGGGCCAAGGGTAACAGCAACACTGAGAGCCTGGATTAATGTGGGAAAGTAGTATCCTAGGCTAGGGTGTCATGAGCTTCAAATGAGATAATGGAAATAAAGCACTCTGCGAACTTTAAAGTGCTATGTAAATGCTAGTTATCATTTCATCATCATCATCATTGTTGTTGATAATAACTAGGGAAGTCTTCCTAGAAGCACAGCCATGCCTAGAGGTTGAACTAGAGGTAACTGAAAATCCATTCTGGTCCCCAAGCCTCCACTCTGGTGATGATACCTTCCCCAAGCCCTTCACTGCACTCTCCCTGAACCCAGGGCAATGTTCATAGAGCAACACAGGGATGTGCTGGACAATGGTGAACAACTGGGCTTTTGGGAGAGAAAAGTATAAAATGTATGCATATACACTTTTAAGTTTAATATGCATTGCTAACACTTTCTTAAGTCTAGTTGATCACAAAACAATAACCCAAGCCCTGATTTATCATGAGTGCTGATTTCCGAGGTATAAAAGCTCTTGCTGAAAACTTGACAATTGGCTCTTACAAGCTCTTTAGAGCTGGCTCCAATGGACCCCTGCCCTCAACAACAATTGGAAAGTTGGGAAGAAGGAGGCAGGGAAAATAAGCGTTCTGTTTAGGACATATTGAGTTTGAGATGCCTAGGGGACATCTGGTTCAAGATGTCCAAGAAGTAACAGGTGATATGGACTGGAGGTCAGGAGATAGAGGTGAGGGTTGGCTATATAGACCTAGGAGTCATCCACATAGAGATGATACAAACCCATGGGAGCTGATGTGATCACCAAGAGAGATAACATAGAAGGAGAAGAGAAGAGGATCCAGGACAGTCCCATGAGGAATAGGCACAGCCAGTGCAAATTATGTCAATTTTACAGATGAGGAAACTGAGTCTCGGGGGAGGGTGAAAATGATCACACAATTAGCAAAAAGGAGGGCTGTGATGAGAATCTAGGTCTTCTGACTTAAAGTGTTTTTGTTTCTTTGTTTTTCCTCTCTATACCATACACTAGGCAGAAAAGAACAGGGGCAATGAATGGAGAAGAATTCTATGTAGGGAATACTTGTGAATGTACAGAAATAAATTTGTTTGACATCTCTTTGAGCATGAACAATAAAAATAGCTCACATTTACATATGTCTTTAGATTTTGCAGATGACTTTGCACATATTATCTCATTTGATCCTCAAAACAACCCTGAGAGATAGGGGACTATTATAGCCTCCTTTTTACAGATGAGGAAACTGAGGCAAACAGGTTTAAGTGACTTGCCTAGAGTCACACAGCTAGGATGTGTCTGCTACCCTATAGACATTGTGAGAATTTCTCAATAGATTTTAACAAAATTACTTAGAGAACTAGTGTATCCTAGTAGACAGGGGACTGGACAAAAAAATTGGCAATGGGAGAAGGAAATAAGGGAATCACATCCAAACGACCTACCATCTTATGAATCCAAGAACACCTGCTTGCTGTAGCCTTGGCTTACAGGCCTTGTTGCCCATGTGGGAAACATGATGAAGTGAGAAGGGGGCTGGATGGACATCAGGAGAGCCAGGTTCTAGTACCTGGCTCTGCCATTTCTTAGCTGTGTGACTTGGACAGTTCGATTTTCCTTTTAGGACCCTAGCTTCCTCCACTGTACAAAGAGGAGGTCAATTAGATGATCTCTAAGGACCCTTGCAATTCTTTAAAAAATAATATAAACTAATATTCTAGGAAAAAACAGAAACAAAAACAAAGGCATAAAAGGAAAATGCCCACCTCACATGGCCATGGGGAGCCCAAGGCACTCATTTGCAGCAGTGGGAAGCTCCTTGGCCCTTTGCAGGTCTAAACAGAGCTTCATTCAACATTAATTCATTCTAGAATAAGCCAGTAATGATGATGATGGTGATGATGATGATGATTGTGAAGATGATGATGATGATAGCTAGAGAGGCAGTATGGTGCAGTGGATAAGGAGATAGCCTAGAAGCCAGCCATACTGGCTGTATGACCCTAGCCAATTCACTTAACCTCTCAGTTCTCTAGGCAAACTTGTAAGATGGGCTGCAGAAAAGATGCCACCCTATATAGGTTGAGGGAGTTTCCTTACCTGGAAGTTTCCTTTACCAACAAAATCACATGTTCAATCTCTATTGCCTAATAAAAGATGACATTTATATAGCTCTCAATATACTTCACCTTGTCTCAACCACCTAGGAGATAGGTTATTATTATACCCATTTCATGCATGAGGAAACTGAGGCTTTTAGAGACTGTGACTGGCCCATAGACATATAGCTAGTAAAGATCAGAGGCAGGATTTAAGCCCTAGCCTCCAAGTCCAATAATCTTTCTACTATGAGGCAGTTAGGTGGCAGCAGTATATAGAGTTCTGGGCCTGGAGTCAAGAAGACCTGAGTTTAAATCCAGCCTCAGACACTTACTAGCTGTCTGATCTTAGTAAATTACTAAAACTCTGTTTGCCTCAATTTCCTCAGTTGTAATGGGGATAGTAGCAACACCTACCTCCCAGGGTTGTTATGAGATCAAATGAGATAATATTTGGCACACAATAGTCACTTAATAAATGTTTATTTCCTTCCTTCCTTTCCTTCCTTTCCTTCCTTCCTTTCTTCCTCTTTCTCTCCTTCCTTCCTCCTTCGTTCCTTTCTCTTTCCTTCTTTCCTTCTTTCTTCCTATACCACACTGCCTAGGATAAGCTCTCCCCAAGAACTGTCCCCCCTTTGCCTGATGGAGCTCTCCAGCACTTGTGGAGCCTAAGAATGGAATTCCTTGTCACTGACAGGTTAGAGGAATCAAGGTCAGGTTGCAAAGGCAACACAGAGATGCAGAAAGCAAAATTGAAAGTTGAATGATATCATGTTAGACTTTGAAGGCCCTTAGAGATCACCTAGCCTAAATCTTTTTCTCCATCATGAACCCTCTCTTTTGGCAGTCTGGGGAAAATCTTTGGGCTCTCCTTAGAATAATGTTTTAACACGTGCATTTAAATGGAAGAAATACTAAATTTCAGTTAGAGGTTAATTAAAATAAAGATATAATTTTTTCACACACAACTTACCAGACCCCCTGAAATCTACCCACATATCTCTTGGGGGAGGTCTGTGAACCCCAGGTCAAGAACTTCTGATCCAGTCTAACCCCTTCATTTAGATGGTAAAATTGAGGCCCATGTTGTCATAGAGCTAGTTAGTGGCAAAGCTCTGGCCTAAACTCCCAATTCCATTCCTACCTCTATCAAATTGTTATCCACTCTATCCCTCCATCCCCCTGCCATCCTTCCTCTTCCTCTCTATCTTTCTGCAGACAACATTTTATGCTTCCTGGAAAGAGGCCACCCATGGTTGATCTTACGAGCTCAGGAGTTCTGAGCTGCATCAGGGCTAAAGTTCTTATTAAGTCTAGCACCAATATGGTGAGCTGCCTCCAGAGGGGAGAAGGAGACTGGGTTAAAAAATAGAGAAGGTCAAAGGTTTTGCATCAAGCGGTAGTGGAATTGGGCTGGGTGAGATAGGGAGAAGGAAGGAGAAAGATAAAGAAAGAAAGAAAGAAAGAAAGAAAGAAAGAAAGAAAGAAAGAAAG